AAAAAAAAAAAAAAAAAACGTACCTTCCACTACCATCATTTGACATAGTTTGAACCAATCTATCAGACATTACACCAGTAATTGTTTTTGCAATTCCCAAACTAGCTTTTGTGGATAATTTTGCGGCTTCAAAGGCCAAACCAGTAAAAATACCAGCCAAATCTAAACCAGCACGAGAAGCTGTAGTTACCCTATCTATAGTTAATGCAAGATCCGAATGAGATTTAAGAACAAGTGAAGTAGTAACTTCATTATTATCAGTTGAACATTCAACGACAGCATCAACATTTTCAGTTTCAATAACATTCACATCCTTGTTGTACAAATTTTGAGGACGTTTTCTACGAAGAACCGGTGACGTAATATTTGTTAAATCTTTAGGAAGTTGAAATTTTTCTGAAGGAGGGGGTATTAAACTGAAACGTGAAATAATATTATCACAATTATTAATAGTAGTGGCAATATCATCAGTTAAAATAGGAGAAGACGTTGAGTCGTCTCGTTGAAATTCTTTAGTAATTTCTTCTTGTTTAGTAAAGATATTGTCATTCTCTTCTTGAATCGGCATTTTTATAAAGTTTATAAAGTAAAAATGGGTTACAACTTTTTTATACGAATAAAATAAAAAAAAAATAAAAGAAACTTTATCCTAAATTTTGAAAGGGAACCACTGCCTTTCGTTTTTTTTTGATTTAAAATGAGGCTCCTTTTTATATAATAGTTATTCAAACAAATATATTCGGCTAATACACTATAACAAAATTACAGTTACATGTAAATATTTGGGGTAGTTACAATAAAAAGAAAAAGGAATTAGTTAGTCGATCCAGGAAATAATCATCTTTATCACATGAATTTTAGCATATACCAAAAAAAGGATAGTTAATTAATTACGACCTTTATAATCAAAAGGGAATTGGGAGGGAAAGGATGTAAAAAAAAAAAGTAAAACGTGGAAAAGTAAGAAAAAAACTTGTTTAAGGGGAATTTTTTGAAGAAAGATCCGTTAAATAATCCGCAATTTATTTCTTGTAATACGTGGCTTAAAAAATTTGTTCAATTTTTATGCATAATTATGTAAGGAAAGTTCAAATTTGGGATTTCTTGGCGTGAAAAAGAAATATATTTGAGAATCAGAGATGAAAAAAAAAAATGGGTAAAATGAAAATCACCATATTGTACAACAAATAATTCACAAATACCAAAAAACGAGAATTTTTTTCAAAAAAAATCGAGAGTTTTAAAAAAAAAAAATAAAAAAAGATTTTTTTTTTACAAAAAAAAAGTGGGGAAGATAACAATAATAATAAAACTAGTATCAAACAAGATTATTGATAAAAACCCTTTTTTTCTGACCAAATTAGTAAAAAAAATGCTTTATTTGATTAGATTAGATAACATCTTTACTTTTTTTGGATATATTATCAATTATGATGAAATCGACTTTTTTTTAGTCTGTTACATTCAAGGAATTGTCATACCATCTGACACTTTTTAACCATTTAAAATAGATTAATAATAATTGTATGAATGTATGAAACCTGGAAATCTTTTTTATATAAATAAATTTATACCGAAATTTACAACGATCAGTTATAAATTCGTAAATCCGTTATAAATCAGTTATGAACATATGAAATATATACAAATCAAGTTTATCATAAAACTGTCATACGATTTTTTACTGAAAATAATTTACGCCAATAAATTTTAAAGAAATCATTTTAGCTTGTGAACGTGTGTGAAAAAATATTTAATACTGAAAATATGGGGATTAAAGATGATGAAATATCCATATGCTTTTCAATTCATCATTATTATTATTATAAACATATAAATAATTTTAATATTAATATTAATAATAATAATAAATAATAATAATAATAATAAATATTGATTTTTATTTATGTTACAAATATTCCGTTACGCAACCTGATTTTCTTACTGCGGTTTTCTTTAATTATGTAATTCATAAAACAAGAAATTCTTTCTATTTAAGTAATTTAATTTATAGGAATATCATTTTATTAAAAAAAAAACATTTAATTAAATAATAATGTAATTTAATCTAATTTAAGAAATAAATTAGAAAATTTTCCAATAAAGTAAGTATTACTAGTTTATAATACCAGGATTTGAATCAAGTTTCCAAATGCAAATGAAAAAGTAATGAAGAACACGAGTGTGACGCGTGTGAATGATCGGATTACTAATCGGAATCTACGTTTCTTTTTTCCGATTTACTTATTAATTTTAAAATGAATTACCGTTATGTCAATCTATTACACATCCTCGCATCAATATTTATCCAATTATTTTATCTTAATTTTGTATATATAAAGTATAATACTTTTAATTTGTAATATTGTTGGTATTTTTATCTTCTCAAACATTTTTGGTTCTGAATTCTATATCAAATTTATAGGTCAATTTTATATGAACTTATTATCCCTATTTATTCATAAAAAATTATACAATTTACAGTTGCATTAAAAGATTATATGAAATTTGATGAATTCGTAAATATGAGTAATTCAACTCATGGTTCAATGTGAATATAAATGCGTCAATTGCTATTGTTGTTCAAAATCTTTACCAATGTAAGAAAAAAAAATCTATACATCATTCAAAAAGATGTTTCCTAGCGAACAAGTGTCAGGACTCATGACGTGTTAATTATGCAGTCAAAAGGTTTCCACGTATTATTGAGGGAAAATCTCGTAATATTGATTGCACATCAGTCACAGGATTTACTTATTAGCAAATTTTTGTCATATTTTTTATATTGTTCTTTATAAACTCTAAAGTGCATTTAGAATAGTCTCGCCAGGTACAGCATAAAGAAGAACTCAAGTTAATAATTACATTTGTTATCTTATTTTCAGCTAATGGCAATTCTTTATGTTTATTTTATATTGTATTAACAGAAGTAAACGCTAAACAAAGAATATCATGATATGCTCTGAAGAAAATGTAAAGTAGATAATTGATATTATTGTAGGATGTAAAGGCCCCAGTGGATATGAGATTATTTCCTCAACGAAACTTAATACGTCATATGTATCATGTGATATAAAGTTCTGCTATGCCGCAGTAGATTTTGCTTCGTATAAAAAAAAAGGGTTACGTAATAATTATTGACCATGTATTCATTTCCTTAGAGTTCTGGAAACTCTAATCAATAATTAATAAAAAACATCTTTGAATTACATATTGATGGGTAGAGAAATAGAACTAATGTTTCCAATGTTTCTTAATCCTAAAATGCTGTTAAATCGCAATGCATAAATTAGTATACTGTACATTTCACAGAATGTAATGTTAGAATTTTATCACCCCGTTAGCAATAGTTTCAATAGCCCCTGTTTTTACCTATTGTCTAATCTGATCCTTAACAACTAAGAAAAACAATGGAATAAACCATTAAGTACTGTCATTAAATAAAATCTTGCATCTATTAAAATGAGTATTAACTAACGTTTCGGAAAATATACCATATTGGCTCTTTTCACTTCTTTATTTCGGTGATATTCCCAAGAAATTCTTCATATTTTTTGGGATCGTATTTACAGGGATCATGGTTGTTTTTGCGGTGTCAAAAGTCATTTTATCTTAAAAATCGTCTACGATATGATTTTGGACTCTGAAAACTCTTTTCTGGAATATTTCGTTCATTTAAAGTTACTTTATATCACTGGTCCATTGCATATTTGTAAAAGTTTTTAAACTCAAACTTTGTTTTATTGTCTTGCAATTTTTGCTTCGTAAAAAACATTACAAAATTTTCAACTTTAAATTGTCAATGCTAATTGTTAAATAAGAATGATTATTTTGAGATTATTTTCGGTTTTTTTTTATTCACTCTACTATAATAGACTAAAGTATTGATATTAAAAGACATGAAAGATTGACCAATTCCATACTATACATGGGGTTCAAACTTCAAAGCCATGCCGAAATATTACGGCACATTACACCAATTCGGCATTAACCGGTGTAATGCTGGTGTAATACTATTTTCATATGAAAATTTGGTGTAATGTATTTCACCATCACGCCACCTTGATGCTGCCGAATTATTTGAAATAATTACTCCCCCATGTATATAAAGATAAGATGTTTTTCACATCTTTCCATATCTTTGAGACATGAGATTGGTAATATCAATTCTGTACCTTTTAGTACCTTTTAGTACCTTTTAGTATTAAAGCATGTTACATAAAGCTATTATATAGGACAAGTTAAATTTATTACCAAATACAAAGTATACAATGTTAACTTTACGTCTAAAAGGAGTTTTTTAAAAGTCATGACATAAAAGCTAGTCTTGCAAAGAGACTTGTAGACTTTATTAAGGGCCTTAACCAGAAATTTAAGGATTTTTGATTTAGCTACGCACAATCAGATGTGGATTGTGGAATGATGAATTAAAAATTTATTAGACACAACAGGTGTTTTAGAGAAAATAACCAAATATATACAATGCGTTGGTTTATTACTGGTTTTAATGACAGTTTTGCTAGATCTTATTATAAGAACTTGGATTTTTTAGAAAATGATGATGAAAAGGAACGTATTATTCAAAACTCCGTGATGAAATTAGTAAAGTAGAAATACCAGAATCTGAGATCAGCTCTATCCATAAACATAGAATTCAGTAAAGAATATCGTTAACAGTATAAAAAAAGTCAAAAGGACAATTCCAAATATGTTAATTTATGGAGGATACGCTTCCAAAACTTGCAAAATTTACCCGCAAGTAACTTACAATACCAGCGAATTAAGTATTCAAGTGAACGAATGTGATGCTGGTTAATCTTATTAGTGCCAAAAGGACAAAATTAGGATAAACTATATTTTATTGACTAATAAAATTTTAATTGATTTTAATACAATTTTTTTCATAAATTAATTGTAAATATTGTAAATTTAAAATTTAATAATCTATCATTTAAATTCTAATAAAATTAATATAAATACTACGAATTACCTATTCTGAAATGGTCATTTTTGTTTTTATTAAAATATTTTATTTATTATTTGTGTTTTTTGGTGGCGTGATAAATAACAAAGAGATTCATTTAGGTACAACATGTCAAATTAGATATAAAAATCGCACCTCTTCCTAACAAAAAATAAATTTATCGGTTTTTAAAAATCATGTAAATAATTAATAAAAGTGAAATAAATGAGTTATTTTAATATGTTAGAGTGAACAAAAAGATATTTTGTTAATTCTTTTGCAAAAGATAATTTTTGTCTTTTTAATAATTAAAACACAAAAGGTTTAAAAATGTGACTGAATTGGTTGGAAATAAATTTATAGATATTAGATATTCGATTTGGTTTAGAATTCGAATTTAAAGTGATAAATTGGATTTAATAGCAGGAATTTGGATTTGATCCGAATGACCTCTGAAGAATCACGTCACAAACACTGATGCGGCTTTCTAGTACATTTCACCTTAACTAATTAATTATAAATTTTGCCTTTATTATTGGGTTTTTTTCTTACTAGAAATCAAAGTATTAAATCCCAACTATTTCACTTTAACTCTGAATGGTCTTTGCTTAGTTTCTTGATATACAAAAAAAAAGGGATACACACAACCTTTCAATTACAATTAACAAGAAACAAGCATACAGAACTGTTGTGAAGCAAGCTGAATATGTTCTTATATAGCACTGCTCTATAGTACTTTCAATTTAAACATTGAATAACACCAACATGTGGGTACTTTGTAAGTTAACAGGTATTATATAAGGGAGTATATAATAATTTTAACCTAAATTAAGCTTAAGTTACAGAATTAAGGAAAGGAATTAATTGAAAGTAAAATTCGGATTTTGTGATGTAAAGGTGCTGATTTAAAAAGATACTATAGGAGTTACTAAAGACAATCACTGGTAAAAAAATGATTTATCCTACACATATCTTACACATATTGGGTACTCAAAATGTAGAAAATCATATACAAATAATACACATATCATATACATATCGGGTACTAATATATATATCATACATATATCAGGTACCTGATAGGTATACTATATATATAAGTACCCGATATGTGTATGATATGTGTATTATTTGTGTATGATTTTCTACATTTTTAGTACCTGATATATGTAAGATATGTGTAGGATATGTGTAGGATAGACCATTTTTTTACCAGTGAATGCTAAATATGTACTGTATTATTATTAAAATGAATTATAAATCAGTATATGCTCAAATTAATATATAGCTGATTTAAAACTTTTTAATAAATTTATATTAACCAATAAGTCTAATTAATGCTAATTTATAGAAAAAATTAGTATATAATCAGATAATATCTAATTGGTACCTATTTATATACTGATTTCTATTATAAAGTAATATAAACATTATAAAATTTATTAAAATATATACTAAATATTATAAAAAATATTTTACCTTATATATAGAAGCTGTCTCAAATTTTATATTTAACACTAAGTAGCTGCAAGAGTTTCAAAGTGATTGTCAGTAAAGGATCCAACAAATTAATTGTATACTTTAAAATATAGAAAATTTTACAGAGTTATAGATATGAAATTTACTTGAAATTTCAATGATGTAAATATCAAGGCCTTAAACTCATTTGAATTCCAAAAAAAGAAAGATTTTCAATACTAGTTAGACATTAAAGAATATAAGAAAGATAATCAGGCTAGAAGAGACAATAGAAATATAATAAACGATCCAACTAACTAATGGAAAGATCAATAAAAAGTTATTAGTAAAAATTAGTGCTTTTTTAAAGAAGCTTAGATAATTTGATATCATTGAAATCATTAATACTAAATCTACTTTTTTTTTAAAAAAAAAGTTAAGATCTGAAATTTTAAATTTTTTTTTTTTTTTTTTTATTTTATAATTTAATGGTTTATATATGCTTACATTAAAATCAGTTAACAACAATGAAAACTATTTTCTAAATTAGCTATACCCACCCGTATAGATGCAACCATCAAATTTCTTCAAGAATCCATATTACTATTGTATTAACATTAAAAACAAACAAAAACAAAAGCCAAACCCCTTCATAATCCTTACAAAGTCCTCATATAGAGGAAACACGAGATGGAATGAAAGTCTACAGCGGTAGGAAATGCACTTCCCAATGCTACAGTATTTCACTAAATCTAAGCAGATACACCAGATCCAGCCAATGACATTATAAGCAATCTAATATTAGTACTTTTGATGGATCAACTGCTGATCAACTTGATTAGTAAAAATTAAAAACTAAAGTCCACCAATTCCATCAGTTCTCCTAAATAGACCGATCTACAGTGTGCGTCACCTATACTTTACAATAGTCCAAAATTCATGGCAAAAACACGTGACATTAGTCACATTACACATAATTTTAACCAATTAAATTCTGTTTAAAAAAAGAAATTTATCGCATTTTTTATATTTCAACTTTATTTAATTCTTCTAAAATATTATCAAGAACATGTCTGTGGGATTTATATTTTTTCACAGCATATTCTGCTAACTTTCCTTCAATTTCTTTACGGTAAATATCCATGTAATGCCACGTCTTTCTTGCAAATTTTCTGATTGTAGTTAAATTAACAGAATCTAAACCTAAAGGAACTGTTTTTTGCAATCCTACCCAAGAATAATTGCAGTTTTCACGTGTAAATTTTTTGTGGCTCCCCAATACATCTCAATATAATTTAACTTGCAATGGAATTTGGGATAAAATACACATTTGTGACCTGCCGTTGAAATAATTTCATGTAATGCACCTTTTTGAGCCACAAAATCTGGTTCCAATGATATAATTCGTCTTGCACAACAATCAACTCGGTTGGGATCTTTATCTCCATTTTTACATAATTGACAATTTGCTCTCAACCCCTCCTTCCATTTTCCTCTTTCTAAAAGTATTTGTTTCATTCCCTTAGGTTTTCTGCACAATTTTTCATCAAAATAATCATTTAGAAAACACATATCTTGTTGATTATTGTCTCCCCAAGTTGTACTTTGCATTACCAGTTGTTTTCCACCTGGAAAATGATTCATTTTGCTCGCTACAAGTGCATCTGGAAAAATGCAGCATGGTTTGAATTGTTATCAAATGCAAATACAGCAATACAGGTGGAAAATAAGGCCTCAAAAATCAGAATTGCTTTTAATTTTACTTGCTCTAACAAATGATTCATTGTCCAATATCCTTCTTGATTTTTGCCAGGAATTAAATAAACGTGAGCTTCTTGTGGGATATTAGGGTAATTTTCAATTGTTTGAGCATTTAGTTTAAGCCGTCCACATGCTTTTATTAAAAATTCACTTACCATAATTGATCGACCATTCCCTTTTTTTTGTAATAGCAATTCACCTGTTTTTGCCCATACTCCACGCTTACCATCATTAGAATAAAAAATGCACTCATCATATGTTACCAAAATATGTTCTTTTTCACTATTTTGAAGATTTGGCAAGATTTTATCCATTGTTTCTCCTTCATAACTTGCCATATATGGTTCATATTTATCCATTTCTTCTAGAAATATTTTTCAGTATTTCACTACATCTTTTCTTTCGTGTCCATTATAATATACTCCTTGCCTTTATTGTTGATGAAAAAAACCTAATACATTTAACTACCGTCTTGTAGTAGAATCAGAAATAGTTTTTTGTTTAGTAATTCCAGTTTCAGGTAAAAGAGTTTGTTCAACAAATTCTTTGAACTTTTTTGGTGTTGTATGTCTTCCCTGGCTACGAATCCAGGCTTGACATTTTGCTGCAACATCTTCATCAAACTAATCGAATAATTTTTTGATGTTTACCTTGGAAGGTTGGTGGAAGTTAAAAATGTTGAAGCCAATATTTTGCTCAAACTCTAATATATAGTGCTTTATATGGACGACTTTCAATAAAGACCAATTCTGCAACTTCAATACTTGCTTTTATTAATCCTTTTTCATTTTCTTTAAATTTAAGGGACAAATCGCCACTCAACTGGAGAATTTTAATAATGCCGATTTATGCAAATTATCGCTAAAAATGGCTAATACTCCTTTTTTACCGGATTGTCATATCATCATGTGATATGATACACAAATTTTAAAGACGGTAATTAATAGTGACAATCCTAGCTAAGCCACTTGCAAAGTTTGAAATCGCTAGAGTTTCGCGTCTTTGACTTTTCTATGTAGGAACGCAAGATTCTGACGGTAAATTTCCTATTAACCCAAATATTGGATGAAAAATTTTTGAACATTTTTCACTGTAACTAAGCTATATTTGGTTTTTTATTTAGTTTTTAAATCTTTATTTAGTTTTATTTGAATCTTTTTAATATTCACATTCTTTGTTAAACTTGTACAGTTTCTACTAAAACTACATATGTATACCTATAGTGCAAGTTTATGAAATATTTTTTTTGGACATGAAAGTTATTGTATACTGTTTTTTTTTACTTATTGGAAAAAAAATTATAGTAAAGAACAAGAAATTCCAAAAAATTTTTTTTTATTAATTACAAAGCCCGTAAAATTAATTATAGAATGTCGATCATTTTTTCCGATTGAATGACGATCTGTCTCTTAATTTGTTTTAACATTTCAAATATTGCTCTTTTTTTATTATATTCAATTACTGACATTTTGTATTGATCTCTCCTTAATTCTTCCTTTAAATCTTCGATTTTAACTTCAACTCCTTTAAAATTCCATCCATCATCTTCTGTAAGAATTTCTATTTCTTTATTTTTTGGGCTAAAAAAACTCGTTAATTTTGATGTACCCTCTTCAGCTTTAGTCCATTTTCCACTTGGTCCATAATTATCATAAAATGTAGATTTTTTAGTTAATCCAGTTAGATATGGTCTGCGTGTTTTTTTTTCCAAGTGAGCATCTTTCTTCCATATTAATTCTAATTCCAAAAGCCTTTTATAATTAGCTTCTGATAACGTTAGATCTATATCTTCTTCCCATTCACTATCATCATCATCACCCCAATCTTCTTCTAAAAAATCTTCAATTTCTCTTATTTCTTCCTTAAAATTTGTTTTATTACGATTTTCAGCAGTAAAAATACCATTGGCAGTATGAGATTTAGCTAAAGCAATATGGCGTTTTTTTGATGAACGTGTTATTTTGTTTTAAAGAGAAAAAATTTGCAATCGATCAAAAAAAAGAGATGCGATGTGTTTCACGACATTTCACGTGATTTACTAATTTTGGCCAGAATTACAAAATCTGAACTAATTCTGGCCAAAATTATAATTCCGAATTTCTGGCTTTACTAATAAATTGACCTAACTTCAAAACTTTATAACTATTGACAGATTTGTTATTGGAAAAAAGTAAACCACAATAACAGTTCTTTGTGTCTCAAAGTTTCATATTTGTGGTTTAGATTTTTTATATCATTTGAATTTTAAGGGTTATAAAATTTTAAAAAAGGGTAAAATCAATGTAGAGTATAGATGACGTGCACTGTACATAAATCCAAAAAAGTTAAGTAATATCAAACCTTCAGCCCAGATGATCGACATTTCAGTACCCCAGCTCCCCCAAAAGTGAACTAAGAGTAAAAACGCTGAAATTCCAGGAAAATGAAAAAACTAAAAAACAAAAAGGAAGTCATAACCTCAGAAAACCCCTAAGTGAAAAACTGAGTAAAAAGGGTAATAAACACCAAGCCACCGTCTACCACTACAACTCCTATAACTTTAACTGATAAAAAAGAAAAAGCCTGCTTCCTAAGTGACCCCACTAACTTCAACTGATACTCCATGGGAAAAACTTTCACTATGCTACTAAAAGTAAAGAAACTAATAGGAAAGCTTCACACTAGTGCAGAGTTTAAAGCCCAGCCGCCCAATGCGTAACTGTTACAACTTTCAGGAACCTGGTGGAAGAAAAGCTTTGCAGAAGTAAGATTACTTTTGGTGAGAACTGCTCCATAGTTTTGTAATTTCACCAAAACTTTGAGTTAAAAGCCCGTTTGAGTCTTGAAAGAATGACTGAGAAGTCTAAATCAAATAATAAAAGCACTCTACAACCATTCAAGTGAAAAAAACCAAAGTTTTTCCTTCAGCAACCTCTGCTGGAAAAATGGCCAAGTAATCAGCAGGTGAAAAATGTAGTTGATCCCCCTCTGAAATTTTAAATTAGTTAATGTCAATTTCAATTCTATCTATTATAATTTGATCATCAAATACAGTGTTTTTTTTCATTAAAAAATTACTGTACAGCATAAAATTTTTTTATGCAGTATTGTATACAGCTACTTTGCTGTAATATATTTATAATAAATTAACTGTGTAATACTGATATTAAAAAAAAATTTTTATATTTATCAGATCTTGTAGCATACAATTTGTAAATATTTCTGTAAAAAACTATTTTTTGCTATTAAACCTTTGTGCCTAATCATAAAAAAATAATTGTGCAATATTAAAAAAATTATCACTAAATATAATAAAAAAATAAATTAAGATCTGATTGACAGAAAATTATTATATAAATTCAGGGGAAATTTTATTGCAAAAAATAAACTAAATAGGCAAAATTTTGCCAATCAAAATCATCACAAATCATGTTGTAATACCAAGTCATGTGATGAAACTTAAAAATGCCAAGAAAAATATCGAGAAAAATATTTTTACATAGAAAATCACAATAAACGCTAAAATCTAACACCTACCGTATCTTAAATATTCATTATTCAGTAAAAATTGCTTTACGCATAAAAATTACTCAAATATTATTGTCAAAGTAATGGTTTTTTAGCTAAAAACAAGGGTAACTAATGTACAAATAGAAAAGATTTAAAAATGAAAAATTCAATCTAAAATAACCTATCTGCTATATAAATTCTTTTAAAAAGCCATTATTACCTATTGTTCTAGTAATTATATATTATTTTTTTTTATATTATTGTTATAACACTTTCAAAAAGCTAATAATAATTTGCAAACTAACGCTAAGAGTTGTGTAATACACTCAAATTGAAAAATTAGATAAGAATATATATACTAAAACTTCCACCATTTGAAATTAATTTACAGGTTACTCCTCATGAAAATAGAAAGAGATCATAGTAACATGTAAACTAAAAGCAAGAGAAAATATTAGAATTATATAAAACAAGTAGTTTTAAATGTATAAAATACATGAGAACATAATTTTAAGTGTTCATATTTGTTAAAATAACGTAATATATGACTTGAAATTCTCGCAAATATATATATATATACCTGTCAAATCTGACGCTGCCTCAAAGTAAAGTTTTGAACAAATAAATAAATTTCTCAATTTTTTTTATTTTTTTTTATCTTTGACATTTAAGGAATCATCATGTGAATTTTGGTGCTACAGCATGATGATCTGCAGTTTTTATAGCCCATAAAATTTAGCCAATTTTGGCATTTTTATAATAACCTCGTCCTGAATTTATATAGTAATTTTCTGTTATTCATAAGTGGATCAGTTCTTAATAATTAAATTTACTATGTAATTATGTAGTAGTTTATATAGCTATTCATACTATTTTACTTATTATATCTTTGTATAAATACTTTGAATTTCATATCATTTTTTTATCATAAATAAAACTACTATTAAGCTTATGTTGTCTTATTATAGGATCCCACTTACTTATAAGATAGGTCATCTCAAATTTAATGTAAAAATTATATATAAAATTCTTTGCAAATCCTATTATAAAAGGAAATTTTATGTTATATTGTTATGATTTTTTTTCTTTTTAGCTAATTAACCAATAGAATTTAAGAAAAAAGTAAGGTAAAAATTATTATTAGTAAAGAACCAATTTTTATAGTACCTTTATTATAAATAAGCAGTGTCCTCTTATTATATAAACACATTTTTATATTTTTTTTCTTAAGTTCTAAGTTGATATTCTATTAAATTTTATTTTCATGATATATTTTTCTTTTTAAATTCCAATATGATATTATATATTTTTTTATTGAACTTTACATAACAAATTTTTCAAATAAGTCTTATTTCATATTATAATAAAAAGAAATAAGCATAACAATTCATTTATAAAATATACTATATAAGTTGTTACTTAGCAGAAATGCAATTAATTTCTTTCATTTTTTCTTATGAAAGTGAAATTAAAGGACTATATTTATTTTAGAAGAGGAATCAGTTATATATCTTTATAATTAAGAAACTTGATCAAGAATTTAAAAAGGTTACTATTTTTCTTTTATAGAAGTGCAATTACCTTTTTTTTTATTAAAATGAAACTACTTTTCTTTTTATATATAATCACACTGGTCGAATGACAACATATCAGAGAAAATTCAGGTACCCGATTCTTCACTAATTCTTCACAGATATATATATTATACAATCCCGATACTTATTCCCGATTGGGCTCAGGTTCTTGTTGCATTTCTGGATACAACTGGGCATAAATACTTCATAAGTATTGGATTTCTATTGGTGAAGAATCGGGTTTCTGTTATTTTACAAATAAACGCCCAATATTTACCAAATTAATAACTGAATCTTTTGAAGTTTTAATAAACTATAAGGTGCAAATCGGATAAATATTATGTTAATATCGGATTTCTGATATTTTACTTATATTTATATAATATTTAAGTATTTATTTGGGTTATCATAAAGTATCGTTAAACGATACAATACACGCCGGGCAGTAATTGAAATCACGATATTTCAAATTGTTTTAATCAATTTATTACTATTCGTTGCAATATATTATATAGCAATATACTAATCAATTTTACAGTAATACATTTGCTTGCTATATTTAATCGTTGTTATATAGAAATAAACTACAAATCATTCTTGCGTAATAAAAATATAAACTACAAATTATTATTAATATACGTGCTCTTTTAAATCTAACATTGCATTAATGCATTAATTAAACCTGTTCATCAAGTTCGTTAGGTTCATCATTAATATTATCGATATTATCGATCTCATCTTGTGGTTGTACGTCGGATCCGTACGACTGTGATATCGACCAATCAGGGGCACCTTCAGGCGGTTTTGACTCATCGATCCACGTTTTATCATCATACCAACGATGTCGTGAAAGTTTTACATGACTTATTTTCTCACCAACTCGGTCAGCCAAGCGAAGTAATTTACGTCCCTATAAAAATGAAAAAGAGATAATAAGCAAATGTATACAATAACTATACAATTGTTTTATTTGATACTTACACGACGTGACCTCCAGGGCTTGTCATAAACATGAAGAACATGTTTATCCGTTTCAATTTTATTCTTAGGACGAACATGATCTTCGATTTCTTTTTTGGTGAGCTCTTCATCAGTTTCAGAAACTTCATCACTGTGGAATCCTCCTTCATTAAATATGGTTTCACAGTCTTCCTTGAATTCTTCCCAAGATAATGATGACGGTTGAAATTCTTTAAGCGAGGCATCATTAATATTGAACATATGCTCGATGCCTTTCTGACGTCGCTCTTTTTTCTATTGCAATCAGATATTAGTGATTAGGATAGAAAGGAACAAGATCAAGGATTTTAATTTCATATTTCGGATGTCTTCAGTACTTACATCTTTTCTTCGAGAATTCGTTCCTTTTCTCTTCTTTTCAAATCTAGTCTTATCCGGATCAAGGCTAACCATCCAGCTTTCTCTACGATGGCGGTGTAGATTCTGTAAGACCCATTTCAATTCTATATCTTTGTATTGAAACCTTCCGGTCAAGACTCTAGCGATCTCCTTCATGATGTGTTTTGAAACGTGTGGTGCAATTTCTACCCATTTTTTGGTATGATCCAATTGCAATGAATCATCGAGACCGCTAAGTATCTGCACGACCTCATCCTTAATTTTATAAAAAAATATCGATTAAAAAATTTTGCTGAATAACCAATAGTTACTTGATACTCACATGGAACAACTTATATTGATCTTCGTCCATATCTTCAAGCAAAACCCGAGCACGTCGACGATATCCAGTTTCTGGTTCTGGCGTGAGTGATGTATTTTGTCTACTCCTTGGAACTGGTGTTGTCTGAGGGGTTGATGGCCATTCAGCTTGTAGGTCGTTCCTTGTTTGAGATTTCTTGAGGGTCCGAACTTCTTCCGTAAGTGCAGTGATAGCTCTGCTTAGGGCTTCGATATCTGTAAATTGAAATCATGACATTATATTCAAAATATGTAAAATAAAAAACATAATTATTATATTATAACCATACCATCATTCCTATTATATCTTGTAGTTGAACACCCTCCTTGTTGACTTGGTGAACGACTATCTGAATAATTAGTCCTATTATGTCTTGTAGTCGAACGTCCTCTTTGTTGACTTGGTGAACGACTATCTGAATAATTAGAATAAGAAGAACGTCTAGACTTGTTCCTTCTTGAACGATAACGGTGACGACGATGTGGTGACATTGAGTTTGTTTGATGATGGTTGTAAGAGGTTAAATTTGTTGTAGATAAGCGTCTTAAGCTTATTTTCTTAATTTTGAAAGGTCTTCTTCCACGCATTTTTACCAAAATTTGTTAAAGGATAAAAAAAAAAACAATACAATAAGGTAAAAGACGTTCTTTTATACCTTTATTTATTTCCACAATTAAAATATTATGATTATTAATAATATTTTTTTTTTTTTCCTATAATTAGATTAAATGTAATGATTACGATTTTTTTTTTAATGATTTAGATCAAAGTATAATGATATGGCAGAGAAAAAAAAAATCAGTTCGTGGGAAGAAAGGGGTCTTTATATATATTTTTTTTTTTGTCATATGAGGACCGATAGGTCTGTCGAAAGTAACGAAATAGTCTATTAAATAAGCTTTTTTTGATTGAATTTTTTTTTTCCTTTTTTTTCATGCCGATAAGTCTATTGAAAATAACGAAATAGTCTATTGAAGTATAAGCTTTTTTTTGATTCAAATAAAGGAACTTA